ATTTCAAAGGGTATTTTACAATTTTGGAATGTTGATGGTCAATATGACAATCATTGCCTACTATTTATATTCACCATTGGAGTCTACATTAGATGTTCATGCTGCTGCTATTATGATAAAAATTTTCAAATGCCTTCATAATCTAAAACTATATTGTGGAATTAGCGATTTTTCTACTCAATATGTCCTGTTAATTTATTGACTGTTAGCATTATTTTCTTCTCATCCTTAGTTTTCTTTCTTTTGTTTTTGTATCTGATGGGTTTCAATAATTTTTTGTTCAATACATGCAAGTATATGGTTAGATCTGATGTTTCTCCATCGTAAACTTTTTCCAGATAATGTTTTTAAATTCGTAGTTCATGCTTGACAATTGTCCGTCTCTGGTCTATGATTACGGGCTAACAGTCTGGAGACTCAAATAGTGATGTTGAATAACAGTTTATAGTACAATTGAATGGAAACTACTGATCTTAAATACATCTAATAATACGATGGTTGCCATGTTTGCTAACCTTTTAAATCAACCAATAATGTTATCTTATTTTGAACAGTGCATATGTCATTCACCCATAACATGAAGAATAAAGCTCTAGGTCATAGCTTTTGAGAAAATATCCATTTGATTTTTTTATTTGTTGGGGGTTTATTTTGAAGAATAGGCGCCCCACACAGGCTGTGTTGGTACTAGGTCATTGTTTTTTCTTGATTGCGTTTTCATGTATTTTGTACAGAAAATTATACAAATTTGAAAATCCAAATCAATTGAAGTTTGTAGATATAGGTGGATCGGTCTTTCTTCAGCATGAATGTAACGCCAAATGCACACAAAAGCAGTTGACGAGTTGCTAAGCAATACATCACGCTCAAACTGGGCATGCAAGAGAATTTGTTCTACTTCAAATTGCTGTCATACCTCTCCATTATTAGAAATTTTTTCAAAATATGAAAGATTAATTAAATTAAATAAGTATGTTACTTATTTAATGAAATAAGAAACCAAAGTCATATGAAACATGAATGAGTTAGAAAAGTAAAGTTTAGCCAAGTGTATCCAAATGTCAGTCGTAAGACATTCAAATAACAGCTTTCTGTTTCAAGGTATTCGAGGACTCATGAAGGGCATTCGAATACCTCCTTTCTGTTCAGTAAAAAATGTGATTTTCTGAAATGGTATCTCTTGGAATGAGATTTACTCATTCATATCTTTCATTATCAAAGAGGTGAATGATTATGTCCATAATTATTCATAAAGATGTGATTTGGTTTAAGGATGCATCTTTTAAGTGAAATGATACGGATAAAGAGTCATCACTCTTCTCTAAAAGCTCACAACCATTCTCTTTGATCTCTAAAAGTAAAGACAGTAAGAGTTCATTTATGTGTATGTTCAATGATTCTAAAATTAAAAAATCACTTTTTTTTTCTCATTCTTTCACTAATAAAGTAAAGTTACATTGACATTATTTCTGTAGAAATTAATGTTTAAAATTTGATATTCTCATTTTCATCAAGAGATGTTTAGTGAATTGATATCACAAGTTTTAAAGAGAAATCAAATAGAGCTTTTTGTATCATGGAGACATTTCTATTATATCCCTTTTGTATACTATAACTCCTTTTTGTATACTATAACTCGTTTCATAGAGACGAAATTAAGCTTAAGGAAAGTAATATCATGCTTTGAAATCAATTTTTCTTTGTTTTTTTGAAGGTTTCATCGTAAGGAAGAGAAAACTACAACTGAATATACAAGCGGAAGATCATTAATTATCAACAAGTTTGTGATGAAGATGCAAGTTTTGGATTTTGAATATGCCTTAATAATTAAAATGCCGAACATCCTTATTGAGAATAATAATTTGAATTGCATTCTATTTCAATTCTTATCAAAACAATACCTTTGTTTTGTGGTGAATTTTCTTTATTTTTATCACTCTTTCCTTCTTTTCTAAAAATGGTGAATCAACCCATTATTCTTTTGATTGTGGCGTGTAACTTCTTAGTCAATTGAATTTTGATTTTCTTCTTTGTTTATTTTTGTTTAATTGAACCTACACAAACCTCAATAAAGTTCACTTTTGGGGCACATCATACAAATATTCGTATTGGCCGCAAAATCTGTGTATTTGAATTTTGTAATTGAATTTTTATTTATATATTCATTTGGGTTAATAATTATATAGAAGTGAGTTATTCTTATAAATCTAACATATAAATTTATGTTTTTAAAGAAAATTAACTTATCTTAAATTGGAATAAACATAAATAATATAAAATTAATGAAGTAATCTTGAGTTAATTCAAATTGTTGCTATGAGAAATATTCATTTTCTTTTCTTTTCGTTAATAATATTACTCATTGAATATTTTAAAAGTTTTATTTTTTTAGATGTCACATGGGTATATGCATATATAAAATTTGTATATTTTATTAAAAATATTATTTGTATGTACAATTATATATATAAAAATATTAATTTGTGCGTCGCACGATCACAAACTAATAAATTTGAAAAGATCATGAACATTTTATTTATTACATATAAAATTAAATTAAATTAAGTTAAATCAAACACAATTTACACAACTGAAAGGAAAACACAACATTTACCAATTTGGAGATGATCAGCTTCTCCTGAAGTCTAAATCCTTACCAATTAAAATATCCTCAAATTGTACTTAAAATGAAAAACCATGGAATAATTATGATAATTGCCACAGCGATTAAAGCCATGCTATTGATGAATGCATAAATATTTCCTTGTCTAATGTTAGATTATCTTCCTAGTTCTTCCCCCAACCCATTTAATGCAGCATTTCCATCCAGGGGGGTGAATTCTTGTGAATTTGGTCATGTAGGAGGCGAATACCATAAATAACATTCCAACCAACACAAAGTTCAGAGACAGCAACCATATATGAGTCCTGACACCGATGTTATAAATGAATCTTGGTCAATTTTTGTGTCCGGAATTGGACACGGAGGATTTTCCTCAGTCCATTTTTGTGTTTCCTTTTGCGCAGAATAAAGCATGTCATTGATCTGTATTGCCAGTGTTGGTAACATAACATCAGTAGGATTCTTGAAGCTCTCCTATAATGGTGGAGAGTTCCTTTTAAAAACTACAAAATTAACTTCATCCTTCATTAAAGCATAGGCAACTTCACTGGTGGCAAAATCTAATCTCCACATCACTTCATGCATCTTGGGGATTGCTGAGAACAGCCTGCGATCGGCTGTTAGATCTACTTTTGATCCTCTTGGAGCAGGGTTATTGCCATTTGCATACCAAACTATAGCCCTGCCAGGGATTTTTTTGTACCATATGGCAAGTAAGAAGAAATGCTCATCTTCAAGTTGTGAAATCCGAATGCAAAATCGCTAGATGGTGAAAGCCATAGTTTTGCTTTAGCACTTAGCAGCACCCGCGGAAAGGGAGCTACCGAGGCTGACATTGCCAGTGGTTTGAGCAACAAGAAATGCGAGGAGACGCAATAGGTAAAATGGAACGAGAGAAGGAAGAAAAGAAGTTATTAATCTAATCTTATGGATATATACAATAGGTAGATTGAGTTAATTTAAAGATTAAAAATGGATATTATATAAGGAAGATTACCTAAAGACGCGTAGAATAGAAGTGCATAATTGTGAACAACTAAGTTAATTTGAATATTGAGTTTGATTTAATACAACTAATGTTATTTTCATTTGAAATGTGGTGCTGCTTCCTGAATGATTAAAATGAAGAACCCTTAGAGAAAATTTTGCCTATTAAAAGTATTAGAGGCGAATATTATCACTTAATCTTATTCCATTCAAATGTGCTTTCTTTATATTTTAGTTACAAATGCTAATCAAGCATAACAAAAACGTATTGATTTTAAGTGAATAGAATATTGATCAATTTGCCGTTGCCAAGCAGCCGAGACCGTTTGTCATTGGACAATTTTTTTTACTCTCATTAATAGGCTTAAAAGGTCAAAGATACAGAAAATTGCACATAATTTAATAGTCTGCTTTTGATTGTCATGCTGCTCTGTGACAAAAACCAATCCTGGAGTTCCCAGTTATTTTATTTTATTTTTATTTTTTTAAAAGAAGCTTATTTTGATTGAGTATGTATCAGGAAGGTGGAGAAGCAATAGTTCATTCTAAGCCTGACCACTCTGTAATAATCTAATATAACTGAAAATTGCTGAGTGGTTTATGGTATTTTACCATATATATCTTCTTCCGTTTCCTTCCCTCCATATAATAAGATAGACAGAAGCAAACCAAGTAATGCTGAGAATGATTTTTGCTCCGACCTTGACATTTGGCCGCCAATTGAACTTAATACTCCTGTCTCCAAATGTTTAGAGATATTTTGAAAGAAAATTTGGTGTCTGGTTTCATACAATTGGCCACATGGGAAGGATGCAGTTTGTCTTAGGAAAAGAGATCCCTAGCTACAGAATAAATTGTCCAGCAAACAACTTTCTGTTTGCAGTAACAAGTTAAAAAGCGTTTAAACCAAATGTTGGGTTCCTCTGTTTCTGTAGGGGAGTCCTATAACACCCTGTATTTTTTTTTTCACACTGAATTGCCATGAAATGATGCAACAGCAAACCTTAATTCACAAACGAAGACTAAAACTGCGTCTTATTGATCATTTGTGAAAAATTATATCAGTAACTAGTATCAAATTTATTGGGATTGATTTTAAATTGAGATTAGGAACCTTAAGCTGGAGCATAAGAAAGAAAATGTTGTACAAAATAGAGGAACCTCGCTGCTTCATTTTTATCGGAGAATACTAAAATTAAATGAACAACAAAATTTTGACAATATTTCTTTATATGGTAGAAGTACGTTGTATTTAAAATATCAGGGAATTTTTCACCATCATTATTTATTTAATTGTCATGTAAAAAACATCAGAGACAACTTAGAACTTAATAATGCAACTTATATATATATATATATATATATATATATATAACAACGCTATCTAAAACTAAAAGAGGGTATAAAAATCACAGAAAATTACTTGCCTGAGAAAACTTCAAAAGTAAAATATCTAGTGTGATGATAAAATGTTGTGCAGAGACAAGATCTGGCCTTTAGTTCGTCAAATTATATGGAGTGGGACATGGAGGAACGGGAACCTGAAGAACTCCTTCAAGCATCTGAGTCACCTTTTTCATGGTGGGGCGTAAAGAAGGATCTTCTTGTATGCACCAAATGGCAACCATCAGAAACCTCTCCAGCTTCCCTCTGTCATCTAAAGCTTCCACGTCATTTTCAACAATGGCATCTAATGTTCCTTGTTGGTAGCAGTCATATGCCCAATAATTTAAAATGATTTTCTCCGATCCTAAAGCATCCATGTCTACACTTCGTCGACAGCAAATGATCTCTAGCAGCAAAACACCAAAGCTGTAGACATCCACTTTCACTGTTACGGGCAAGTTCCTAAACCATTCGGGTGCAACATATCCTTTTGTTCCTCTAATGGCAGTACTGGTTTGGCTCTGATCAAGCGATAAAAGCTTAGCCAAGCCAAAGTCCGAAATACGAGCATTGTAGTACTCATCTAAAAGTATGTTTTGAGGCTTTATATCACAATGGATAATTTGAGTACTGCACTCTTCATGTAAGTATAGAAGCCCTCTTGCTATGCCAAAAGCAATTTGTAGTCTTTCATTCCAACTCGGTTTGAACTCACCAAAAAGTAAGTTTGCTAAGGTGCCATTGCTTAAGAACTCATATACCAGCAATCTTTGGGTCCCTTCTTCACAAAATCCAAGTAGTCGAACTAAATTCTTGTGATGAGTTTGGCCAATAACATTCACTTCAGTTCTAAATTCTCTCTCACCATCTTGTGCTATATTGTTTAACTTCTTCACTGCAACCTGAACAGAGGACCCCAGTGTTATTGTTCCTTTGTAGACTACACCGAAAGCCCCCCTTCCCAGCTCAAGTTTGAACCCATTTGTAGCTTCTTGGAGCTCCCTGTAGGTGAAACACCGCAAATTCGTTTCCACATCAGAATCTCGAGGAACTATTGTGCGTTTATTGCGGTAAATGAATATGAAACCCAACCAACTCACAATGACTAAGCTTGTCAGAAGCACAGCCAACAAAATTATTAATTTGTTTTGACTCTTCTCTTGGCTATTCTTATTTGGCAACAGAGGAGGAGGATTAAGTTGATCACCTCTCCCAACCTTGACAAAAGCCTTTAAGCCATAAAAGATATTATCAGTTCTTCCATTTGACAGTGGTAGCTTCTTCTTCCAACATTTATCCCCAGCTCTGAAAATGGAAATGGCACACAAGCAATCCTTCAAGCAAGATTCTCTGCACTGTTGTTCAGTAAAAGGCTGTGAAAGTTCATAATCCGAAGTTGGCCAATCTGTATTAGGTAGCTCCTCTATATCATATAGATCTTCTTGGGACCACTGGCCATCTGCTTGACAGCCTAGTATGAAATCTGGTTTGCAGCTGCCATACTCATCATTAGGATCAAGCAAAGAATACTTTGGTGGACATTTACATGATGGCCTGCTATCATTTTTTAGTGTACAAATGTTATTGTATCCACAAGCCCCACTTCCGATTTCTCCATAGATTGACCTGCAGATATTATCTGGAATTGTCTTGATAACAGTCCAGCTTTGGTTGGCAGTAAAATCCTTTGGATGATAAGACAAGGTAAAAACCCCATCAAAATTGAGAGTTGCTCTATGATAAGAGTTTGCAGCAGGAACATTCCCCTTTGGGGTGAGATAAAATTTTGTATTATTTCTACTCAATACATAAAAGTAGCCACTTTCATCGAAGATAACTTGGTAACCAGAATTTGTTGAATTTATTGCATCACCGGTGCTAGTGATGTAGTATGGATCGTAAGTGTTGTCTGATAACAAATCCATGGGAGTGAGCACAGCGTTTCCATCTTCACGCAAACGAAACTGGAATCTTCCTCTTGAGAAATTGTTCTCTCTGTGTCGAGAAGAAAGCACCCCGTTTATCTCCAGTATCTGAGTTGGTAACATCGTATCAGTAGGATTCTTGAAGCTCTCCCATACTACAAGCAAATTCTCATTCAGAAGCACAAAGTTTCCAGTATCATTCATAAAACCATAGGCTACAAAAGTAGTGTTACTGGTCTTAGCTTTCCATAAGAGTTCACCTTGGGGACCGTTGACCACAAGCCCGGTGTCGTAAAACAGCTCAAGTTTTGATCCGCTTGGTACAGGCTTGTCTCCATTAGCATACCAAACTATGGTTTTATCTGGTATCTTGTTATACCAGATAGCAACCAGGAAGAGATCTTTGTCGTTGTCGAGTTGTCGGAAACCAAAGGCAAAATCACCTGAAGGAGAAATCCATGGAGATGAGTTTTCAGTCGCATGGATAGAAGCGCCAAAGCTAATATTGCCAGCAATTTGAGCTACAACAGACATTGGTTGCAAAAATATGAAGGAAAACAGGAGGAAAGCAAAAGCCATTTGTTGCTAGAATCAATCACATTGGAGATAGCACTGTTGTGAAATAATTGTGTCGCCCATCAAGGTATGACTATAAACAATTCCGGGAGCCACAGGTAGTTATTATTATTATTAATTTAATTTTCTAACTTTGAGAAGGACAAGTTTTGTCGCGTCAGGAAGGACAAATTTTATTTGGAATTCTGAGGTTGGTCCAAATTTGTGGAATGAGCTTTCCAGAGGACTGACTTTGTAATGAGTGCGGCCAAAACATTTTTTCCACATTGAAAATAATTTTGAAATATCTTTAATAAGTTGGTGATTAAAATTCATGATTTCACAGACCTAGGACGTATAGCAGAAGATTTGCAGGCTGGACGTGCTTTCTAGCTGTATAATGAGAGAAAAGTTTGCAATGACAGAAAACGTTCAATGGTACGATTCTCTAAATTTATCTTTGACAATCATCAATTTTATCGTACGGGCAGTTTGATTCCCGAAAATTAAAATTTTAAAAGAAAATATAATCTCTAAAGTGATATAATATTAAATTTTTTTTTATTTTAAAAATATTTTATATTTAAATTTATTTATTTGTTTGATTAAAAAAATTCATGCATATTAATTTTTTTACATATATAATAATTTTTTATTTTATTTTATTAATAATAAATACTTAAATTAAAAAATATGCTTTTAGTAGTTAAAAAAAATAAATATTTTATTTAATTATTATTTTTATTTATAAAATATCATCAATTAAGTCGTTTAATACTTGTTTTAATAATAAAAATTGATAAAAAATTATTCAAAAAATCAATTAATACATTTATCACTTTTTTTATCTCAAGAAAAATATTAAAAGTGTTCATTTTATTTATTTACAAAAAATACCTTAAATAATCTTTTTATAAATAAATAAAAGTTTTTTATTTTTTATATACTAAAAATTAAAAATGATTTTTTTATTTATAAAAATATTATTTAAGGTGTCTTTGTATACAAAAATGTATTAAATAATCCTTTTATAAATAAATTAAATGACTTTTAAAATTTTTTATAAAAATATTACTTAACAAAAACATCTTAAATAATTTTTTTATTTTTTATAAAAAGATCATTTAAAGTATTTTTATATAAAAAATTTAAAAATGATCTTTTAATTTATTTATAAAAAAATTATTTAAAACATTTATGTACGGGCCTTAAATAATCTTTTTATTTAAGCATTCTAAGCTTCTTTTTATTTAAGCATTCTAAACTTCTTTATATGTCAAAGGTTTCTTCTTCACGGCAACTCAATCCATCTAAAACTCAATACACGTTTATCAATGGCCTCAGTTTTTTCACCTTTCCTGTCAGTTTGCCTATCTCTTCTCCTACCTCTTGTTGTTGCTCAAAGTACTGAACGCAATGTCCGGGTCGGCAGCACTATCGCAGCGATGACAGTGCAAAACCCTGGCTTTCACCTTCCAATGATTTTGCCTTCGGATTTCACCAACTTGAGAATAAAGAACTTTCCTACTTGCCATATGATATTATAAAATACCAAGCCGCACCATAGTTTGGTATGCAAATGGAGATAAGCCTGCTCCAATAAGATCCAAGGTAGAGTTAACCACTGATCGCGGACTAGTTCTCAGTGATCCTAATGATCAAGTGATATGGAGATCATATTTTGCCACTGGCGAAGTTGCCTATGCTAGAATGAATGATACAGGCAATTTTGTTGTTTATAGTACTGGTTCTCAACGACTGTGGAAGAGCTTCGGAAATCCTACTAATACGTTGTTACCAACTCAGGTAATGAACAGAAAAAGTTTGCTTTCTCCTCGGCAAAAAGAAAACAACTTCTCAAAGGGAAGATTCCAGTTTCGTTTACTTGAAGATGGAAATGCTGTGCTCAATGCCATAAATTTGCAATCCAATTTTGCTTATGTTGTATATTACATTAGTGGCACTCATGATGCAGAAAACTCATCGAATTCTGGTTACCAAGTGAAGGTTGATCAAGATGGTTCCTTTTACATATTGAGAAACAAAAATCAGAGATATTTACTAAGCTCAGACGATTTAGTTCCCTCTGCACACTATTATTACAGAGTAACTCTCAATTTTGATGGTGTTTTGACCCTATCCAATTATCCGAAGAAGTTCACTGCAGCTCTGAAAACTGGACTGTCGTTAAGACCATTCAAGATTTGGGAAGTGGAACTTGTGGCTTCAATAGTATCTGTCTACTCAAAGCCGACAAAAGGACAACATGCAAATGCCCCCCAAGTTATTCTTTATCTGATGCAAATGACGAGTATGGCAACTGCCAAGCAGATTTCATGCAGGGCTGTGAAGCAGATGCCCAGAATTCTGCAGAAGATTTATACAATTTAGTGGAAATGCAAAATACAGATTCGCCAACTTCCGATTAAGAGTTGATTACCCCTTGCAGTTCTTTAAAAGACTGCAAAACTTATTGTTTGCAGGATTGTATTTGTATTGGGGCGGTATTCAATGACAAAGGCTGTTGGAAGAAGTCACTACCGCTTCCACATGGGAGACAGGACAGACAAGTGAATTCCATCTCCATCCTCAAAGTAAGAAAACCTGAATTTGCCCTCAAAAACCCTGCGATGCCATTCTCATACGTAAAAAAGAACCAAAATTCATTGATAATTCTGATTTCAGTGCTCTTAGGTAGCTCTGTGTTTGTCAATTTAGTATTGGTTGGGATATTATGTGTGGGATCATTTTTGTTGTATCACAAAAAGATTACAAGAAATCACATAAACAAAAATGGCATACAAAGCAGTTTAAGGTATTTTAGATATGAGGAGCTCGAAGAAGCTACAAATGGTTTCAAGGAGGAGTTGGGAAGGGGATCATTTTGTTAGGCAAAAAACCTCAATCCAATCAAACATCCAAGCCTGTGAAAGTGAAATCAAATAATCAATTAATCACACAATAGATAATAATTTAACGTGGTTCAGTTAAATTGACTTATATCTATGGATGAGAAACAAGATCCACTAGTTGTAAAAAATTACAAACATACATCAATTCAATCTCACTCAATAATTAATACTCATATGCCTTCTTAATCTCTTTTAATCTTATAGAGTATTCTCAACTTAAACGCCTTAACTCAAATTCCATCAAATCATCTATTTTAATGATGATATATTTGGTTCCACCTGTAATTGAAGTCTCACAATCATCTTCTCTTATTTATCTTCATGCTTCACACAAACCGATCATCAATTTTCAAAACATGAATTTGAACTCTTTTTTTGAATCAAGCTCTTCTGGGTTTGCCTCTTCCCATGGCTCGATCCATACTCTGATACTACTTGTTAGGCAAAAAACCTCAATTCAATCAAATATCTAAGTCAATAGAACCAAAATAAGATAATCAATCAATCACATAAGAGATAATAATTTAATGTGGTTTGGTCATTATTTGTTAGGTTAAAAGCTTTTATCCAATCAAGCCAGCAAAAGTATAATCAAACAATTAATCAAGCACATAAAAGATAATAATTTAATGTGATTCAGTCTAATCGACCTACATCCACGGATGAGAAATAAAATCCACTAGTTGTAAAGAATTACAAACATATATCAATTCAATCTCACTCAATAATTAATAGTCATAGGCCCTCTCAATCTCTTCTAGTCCTATAGATTATTTTCAACCTAAACAAACACATATCCATGTACACCCATGTATTATACCTATGTGAACCATCTAAGTCTCTTCTAATCCACTCACAAACATATAAACATACATGCCTATAAGACGTAAATCTCTAATAGTCTTATGGAGTATCTATCCAATAAAACTTTACAACTCTCTTATATCTTTTTCTCATACCTAACCCTGTAAAGACTCTATCTATTTATAAACAGATAAACTTACCTATCAAGAATCTCTTTCCTCTTAAAATTCTTCTTCTACAAGTCAACTTACCTATCAAGAATTCTTTTTCTGCATGTCTTTTTGTCCACCAAATAATATTTAACAAATCTCAAATAAATCTTTTATGGGATTTGAGTCACAATTCCCAACACATTTGTCATTGTTTATAAAAGGGTAATAAAAATAGATTCTCAAGATCGAACTAATGTTGCAAGTAAAAAATTAAACAGGGTGGTTCAAGATAGAGACAATGAATTCAAAACTGAAATAAGTGTTATTGCTCAAAAACATCATAAGAAACTAGGCAAGTTACTTGGATACAATGATGAAGGTCAATATCGAATGCTAGTATATGAGTACTTAAGCAATGGGATGTTAGTGAGCTTTCTCTTTGGGGATCTAAAACCCAATTGGAGCCAAAGGACACAAATTATGTTGGAAATTGCAAAAGAACTGTTTTACTTGTAGGAGGAATGCAGCCCCTAAATAATTTATTGTGATATAAAGCCTCAAAACATACTTTTTTATGATTACTATGTAGCTCGGATCTCTGACTTTAGGCTATCAAAGCTTTTAGGGATCAATCAATCCTATACTAATACTATTATCAAAGGCACAAAATGGCATGTAGCACCCAAATGATTCAAGACTATGCTTATAACTATGAAGGTTGATATGTATAGCTTTGGTGTTTCTACTACTAGAAATCATTTGTTGTAGAAGAAATGTAGCAATGGATAATGGGGCAGTACAAAAAGCAATTTTGATAGATTGGGTGTCATGAGCCAACCTTGTATAGGACTATAACCGGACATAGAATGTCATGAGCCACCCATGTATAGGGTTATGATTGGGTAGAGATGCCAAGGGGGAAGGTAGATCTTATGTGCTAGGAAAAAAGTGTTCTCATTTCAAACATTGTATTCATTCTTGGTAGCATAGATATAAAATCTCTTAAGCTCTTTAGAGGGGATGAACAATCGACGTATTATTGGGTTGCTTCATTGGTTAAGGTACATGCTAGACCACCCATCTAGGGCTACCCCCTGGCCCCAATGATGGTGGAAAGACTCGATGTCCCTTTTGCACTCATGTGCTATTCTCGATATTAATAAAATATTTTTTATAAGAGAATGCCAAGGTTTGCCTTGGGGTGCTCCCATTTTGCTTTAATATATCGTTGTGTATTCTTGAGATTAATTTGTGGCTTGTTGGTTGCCTATTCAGATATTGAATTATCCTTGCTTGACTT